ACGATACTTTTAACACGGACAATATGGCGGCTTAAAAAGAGACAGTGAGAATTAAATGTGCTGGAAAGTCCGAATCAAGGTATGTATCCAGTAAATGTATCAAACCTTCAACTTTTTCAGTTGAGTCTTGTAGTTAATTAAGCATTGTGCACCACTTAAGGCACTAGAGGGCACAGCACACTTATAGTTTGTGAGTGTAGAGGTTTGAGTGACCCTGTAAGGCAATTTGATTGATTTGATTAATATTTATTAATTTTCCAGGAAATGCAAACCCTTTAACACTTCTGCATGTTGTAGAATGAGAGTATTTGCCAATAAGAAATGAATGGAGACAATTCAAATGTTATTTTCACAAGAACACAAAACAAGCAACCTAATTAACAACAACAAAGCCTGCCCCGACAAACCCTTCAGGCAAAGTGTCTGCCTGCAGGGCTCCAGTACCTGAACTAATCGCTGAAAAGCAGCGTACACCGGGGGCCAGCGGTATCTCGTTCGCTGAGAAACCACCGAGCTGAGCCGAGGTTCAGTAAAGCGCTAATATTACAAGGTGTCATCAAAGTGGAGGGGCCCTAGGGGGGGAAAGAAGTCAAAGTAAACATTGGGAATAGTCAGGTTTTACCCACACATTCAGATGGGCTGACAGCTTCCATAGAAAAGGACAAAGGAAAAAGACTTGACAATGACTTACACTGTTATTACTGTATTGTAGTTAGTAGTAGTTATTTAATAAGTGTTGGACAATTCCTACATTACTATTATTTCTATATCATACTGGTTAATTACTTTTAGTACCAATAATTACCTCATAATTATATAAGTCACTGTATATTTTATACATACCATATTATTGGGAAAGCACTACAAAGGACACTGTAATCTACAGCAGACACAGAGGACAGATGCTCTCTGGATAAGTAAAAGGTTATTTCACTTGTCTAAATGACAAGTGGCTGAAAGAATAATGTCAAGTCGTGCCGGGCATTATGCTCACAGTGGACACTGGGCCTGGAAGAGACTAAATTGTTGAAAAGGATCATGTACAAATTTGATCTCATTTGTATTCTGATGGAACAATTGGTAAGGATTCACCTGAATGGGCAGGCTGCAGTGGAAGAGTCGCAGTTGACACTGAGGAGGAACCGCTCCAAAGGCTTGAGGAGGCAGTGCGCTTCCTCACTCACTACATGGCTACGATTAAACACAATAATAGCCTTACTTGTGGTTGTCACAGACATCAGTAGGGAAAAAGGTCAGGCTTTTACAACTTGAAAGGTGATTGACTTATTAAATGTCAGTCCACATTGATGCATGTGATGCTGTTGTATCTCTTATGAACACCTCCACGTGCATTTCTAACCTGCCTGACGACATTGACAACTTCCAAGCCGTAAATCACTTTGATCTCATGGAGGGATCAGTGTTTTCGATCCCCAATAGTCTTTATTGAGAGTGTTTCAAAAGTCATTCCATTATTACATCATATTTTCTTATCATTATTCTCTCATTTGTTTCTGTAAACTCATGTGTATAAGCTATAGAAACAATACAAAATGAAATAATACTTACCGGTACATAAAGAAAAACAAAAGACAAGAACAACCAGGGGAAAAAAACACTTAAACAAACAATCAAAACAAAAATAAACAAGACAGAGAATGGAATAAAGATATCTTATTTACAAGACACACAAAGAAACATCACATTTATTGATCTCCATTAGGTGACAATGATGACAAGGTTATTTAGTCCATTATTTACACCCTTAAACAAATAAAATATTACTTAAATCTGCTTACTTGCAGCCTTAAAGGGAAGGTTAATTTCTCCATTACATAAATATCCTTGAAGTAACTTAACCATGTTAAAAACTTCCCATTCTATATACACTGTGTAGAACAAGTTTGCTATAGTCCCAGATTTTGGTCAGTGGCACTAAACTGCTAATGTTAAGAAAAAAGCTCTTTTAAAGTCTGTGGCGGTGATAGGTATGACCTATATACATACATTCTGAATTAACATTATAGCACATGGTTGGTCACATGGTGTGGATGTATTGTACATCCCATTTGGTTCGCCTGGAGAAGAGATCTTGTGAGCAGCTGTGATTGTTGGAGTGTCCTTTAATGGCTTGGACTAGTATGCTTCTGGCCATATTGGCGGGTGGTCGGTGCAGTAGTGTGCTGTTGAATGACGGGGTCAAATTAGACCATTTAGACTTTGAGTTGGGAATGTACATTATGATTTGCCTTTACATGACTCCTATATTAAAGTAAAAGTAGCAATACCACAGCTTAAAAATACTATTTCTTGCACTGGAAATTCTACTTGAGTAAAACTGTGTAAGAATTATCAGCTGTTCTCCCAAGATAAAGAGAAAATGAACCTCGTTATTGTGAGAGAACTACTCTGTTATCCTGAGATGACGAGTTAAATAACTTGTAATCTCGGGATAACAGGGTTACAAAATGATTGTAACCATGGCCACTATGGATTTCTGCAACCATCAGATAAAGTGGAGTGAAAAGTAAAACACTTCTGGCAGAAATATTATACAAGTCTAAATAAAAAGAATGTCAAATGAAAACAGGATTATATTTCATTAGTCTTATTGGGACATTTGAACAGAACAGAAACATCTTTAATGTTATTAGCCACCAGTGTTGGGTTAGTTACTCAAATAAATAATTTATAACTCATTACTCTTTTAAAAAGTAATATTATTACTTTACTTATTATATTACTTTACTTATTACTCCACATTAATTAGTTAAACTACTAGATATATGACTTTTCTGCCAGCCCCCCCACAAAATTGGTGACTGTGTCCCTTTTCCCCAAAATTCAGACTTATGGTGATTCAAATTCTGTTTTGTTTGTTAAAATCAAAGTAATGGAATATTTCCAGTTGCTGAATGTCCAAACTAGTTTCCTCCACAAAAATGAATCCAAGCAGCAGAGTGACAACAAAAGTAATATTGTAACTAATTACTTTTTGGAAGAGAAACTGTAATATTATTACTGAAATGTATTAGTTATTAGTTACACTACTACTACAAAGTAATATCATTACTGGTAATGAGTTACTGACCAACACTGTTAGCCACACCTGCCTCATCAGTTCCTACTGTGAGAGGTTCAAATGCCCACTGTGAATAAAGGACTTTTGTGTGAACCCTTAATGCTAGTTCAGGTGACAACTCTCAGCTGCTACACACTGGGTTTGCCGACACATATATCAAACGCACCCATTTTCAAAAGGTGGTCCATTTAAAGGTGGGGGACACACAGATTGAGGAGTCTCATTCCCAGGTCGTCAAATACAGAAGTTTTAGATTATGGGAATCAAACAAAGAGGCTCGAGCCACACAACATAACCCAACAGGTGGCGCTCGAGACAACAATCAACTATTCTTCTCATCTTCAAATATCAATTATCACCCACCTACTGTTTCGCTAGGCTACTATCACTATGCTAATGAGCAAATTAATGCTACAAACAGTTGCTGCTACCCCTGCTGCTTGTTACCTCCGACTGAAGATGTCTCCAGCACCACTTTATGGAGGAGTCTTCACCATTCAGAGAGTCTTCCTCACGCTGCACCTGTGACCTGTTGGCCTCAAACACAAACTTGAAGCTGGGTAAGCTTAGTATTTGGTACCTGTGCTAGCACGGTTACATACTGTGAGTGACTGTTGTCTTTTAGCCTCTTCAGTCTGTTTATGTGCTCAGCAACATGGCTGCTGCTCTCTTCAGAGCTGAGTGTGGTCACTTTCTGGACAGCCGCTAACTTTGAATTCTGCTACCATTTCATTTTAGTTGTGAATGAGTTCTAGTCGTGGTCTTTTTTTTTGTGGCTGATGCTTTCTTGCTATTTATTGTAAATACTAAATATTGGTGAATTACTGTATGAGCACTCCAGTGTAGGAAGTTGTGAATAGAATTGGTTTTGGAGCTATTTTACTCTTAGCTTTGTTGTTGTTGTTGTTGTTGTTGTTGTTATTTTGGGGGTCTTTGCTTTTGGTTCACTGGGAAATATCTCTAGTAGAGAGTAATACTGTAAGTTTTTAGCTTTCAGGATGTAAATGTGACTGCTGTTTTAATTCATTCACACAATTATTTCCTTGTAATGTTGACTGCATGGGAAGCAAGGCTTTTGTGGCACATTCAAATTTTCTTCATATATTATGCATACATATTTCAAAGTAATGGGTTAAGGTGGCTGCTGCCTTCTCCTAATTCTATTAATGACATCTGAAGTGGTGAGATTCTGTTTTATAGTTTATGCTGCTGCTGCACTTATTGCCAACTTAAACTCATATCCACATAGCTTATAAGGTCACCTGCTGCTCTACAACACTGCATAACATTACATAAGAAGAGATTGTCTACTTCAAGCCATATTTTCTTTGCAAGTTTAATATTCTTTAGTTAATACGTATTTGCTGCACAGGTGACATTTGCCTGTTGCTGCATTTCAGCCGGATTGATGAGATTTTTCCTTCTCAGTTCATTAGTTTATTCTCTGCAATGTTTGGACACCGTGCTTTGTTGGGTAAAGGCCACATGACAACTGGTGTCCTCACTAAGTGGATTCCATATAATCTGGTGTCAGGTTGTCTAATGTGATTGTGGTGTGGTGGAGTTTATTATTGTCTCCGTTACTTCTGCAGACTGACACCAAATGACGAGGCCATGGCTTAGATATGAAGTATCAACCTTGTACGTTCTGCATTCATATTAATCTGCTCCATGTGAGTTTTCCGACTGAATCGTTGAGATGCATTTCTGCACCTTTTGAACTACATCACGAGTGCCTGGCCAGCTGGCTGCAGTGTAATGGTGTTATCCTCTGTGCAGAACTGCAGGTCTGTGAGATTGAAGCCTCCCCCGGGTGGATTTTGGTGAGCCAGACATCTTTGGGCTGCTGTGTGCTGCTGTAATGATTTTCATAAACTTTTGTTGTGTGGTTTACCTAACAATCACATTAACAGACACATGAAAGCACTTAATCTTTATTCACTGTAGAACAGTAATTCCTGGACAAAAAAAGATGGAAACAGTTTATCAGTAGCCCCACAAATAAACCTCAGTAATAGAAAGGTGGACACTTTTAAAACGACGGTTAACAGAGGTTAAAAACAAATGGGAAGCATCTTTTATGTCTGACTGGACTGCCCAGCGCCACCCTCGTAAGTCAGTGGAGAGCAAATATCTGCTTCCTTCTTCCTTCTCAGCCTGGTTTGCACATCAGTGGGTCAGTGTACACACTATGGATTCCTTTCTACACAATACTGACTTCATGTCATGGAGAGAACCACATTAGCCCTATTTGCATGTGTGGCGTTAGCATCTATTGGCTTATCATAATAACTGAGGTCTTTAGTTTGTACAATTTGTACAAATTATACACATAAACAATTGCATTATACTTTTCTCATGCATGACTATATATGACTTATGATGGCAGCCTGTGATGACAGGTTGCTGCTTATGTGTTCACTTAATACAGCATATATAATGATAACACTTTTATTAGTTTTAGACACTGCTTCTTATTATTTCCTTTACTCCTGTAGTGTGTATATTTGTGGCATTGGCTTTTATGTTATGATTATGTCCATGTTGCCATCTTCTACCAACCAAACAATAATTCAGTGATTTGTATTGAAGGTTTGTGTCAGTACTCTAATTTTATCCTGCATGTTATTTAAGTAGAGCTATATCCCAGCAGAAGATGGCCTTTCACCTGACTAAAAATGAACGTGTACAGGTCATTAGTCTTATTGTGATCAATTTCTCAAATGTGTCTGCTTTTTCTATGTTTGACTTCAGGGAGATAAGCACAACAGTGGTGGTCACAAACACAAAGCACTGTATGGTCCTAGAGCTGGCATGAACCACAGCCTGTAAATGTATAATGGATTGTTTCATTTATCATAGCAAGCATAAGCAAGCAAACAACCTTATACGTCCATGTGGGGGGCTTTAGAGAGCTCATTTTTTCCCGGCGTGCTGAGAAAAATGAGGCGTTTTAGCTTTAGACATAATAGTGTTCCCGTGCAGTTGAAGGCACCTACAGGGCAGTCAGGACTGGACCACAGCCATACGGCAACAATAACCTTCAAAGTCTGTAGACAGCAGCACAGCCTTGTTTATTGAAAATACTCACTAATGTTCACATTGAAACCCCTCTGCTTTGTTCATTGCTCTGTACAGACTTTAGTAGATTTCATTTTTTGAGCTCTTTATATCTGTTCCATTGCAGTTTGGAAATCTCAGGATTAGATAGCGATAGTGTGGATATTATTAATGCTACAAAAACCAAAGCTCGTTGGGGATTTTTGGCAGTTTGCTCATAGAGAAGGGCTTTGAGGATTTGCGGTGCTAAATCATTTATGAAGTCAAATGGGTGAGTGAGTTGCTGCAGCACCTTCTGGCCAAAGTTCACGAGTGCAGCCTTAAAACATGTTTACATGTTGGGCAAAATACTACTTTCTGACTAACAACAGTATTCAAGATTTATAATAGGTTTCTACCAGCAGTTTTCTAGGGAAAACCCTGACCCTTAAAATACCTTTGGGATAAACATTTAATGCTGTCCTTAGAAACCGATTTGGACAATGAATTACTGATGGACAAGGATCAAATGTTAAGTGACTGTAATACCGAGGCACACCATAAGGGATATAAATGGTGAGCTTGTAAAAATGTGTACATGTTAAGGTATAGGTTGTGCCCTGGGTACTTCACTTCTTTTGTGTGCAATGTACAATAGTCCTAGATGTTGTGGGTTACATACGTTGATGCGTAACTTCACAGAAATATCACAAGACATTTCAATTGGCTGTGCTTTGATTTGAATGTTTTGTTCCCTGTAGGATGTCCTGTACCGCCTGATTTTTATCCAAAACAAATCACACCACAAACAAAACGACTTGCATGCACGGCCCCGACAATGACACAAAGAATCAGACAAAAACACTTTTAAAATGAGCCTCTAAAGGAACATCAGATGAGTCCACGGAGTTGAAAATGTGCACCTTTGAGGCTTGAATGTGACCAAGAAGGGCCTTTTTAACTCCAAGACAAAATACAACGTCCTTTTTAATCCGCATTTCCATTCGCTACATCTCATACAGTAAGAACACAAACGAGAGAGAGCAACATACAGAGTCCAGTCACTGAGCATATACTGTAGAGAGCAACTTCCCAACAAAAACACAAAGTCCACTATGTTCCCGGAGCTGTCTTTGTGGAGGAAGTCTTTGATCTCTCAAATGCGTAGGGACATGCAGTGAAATTGCTCGAGAGAGAACACAGTGTGTACAACTCTGCTTGCAGACAGCTGCTAATTCACAGTTAGGTTTGAAAAGTGCACACAAGGTACTGATCTTGTAAGTAGCTCGATTAATATTATCTCTACTGTACGTCTTTAAGATACCATAACACGTAGTGTTACAGAGCTCAATGTAAGACAGCGGTACTTATCAGATGTAAAAATAAATGACGTGACATATCAATATTCACAAAAACTATTGGAATTGATTTCACAATATCTACAAATTATAATATTCACAACTTGGTAACACTATTCTGAGCAATTAGAATTGTTGCCATTTAGTTTATAATAATTTATTCAGTTTATCTATTTGTCTACGGATCTCTACTCATCACTTGTATCAATGCTGTAGAGGTTATGTCGTATAAAACATATAATATTTAATGCTGTACTGAATAGCATAAATATACTCCTATAGTAATATACTCTTAATATACTATATGTTATAGGATGACATGTTTCTGCTGACGTTAACTCTGGCCCTGTGAGGAAAAGATTTACCACATGAATCACACAATCCTAACCCAACCTATATGGCAACAATACAGTAGAGTCCTGTTTATCAAAACCCATCAGGAATGATGACAGATGTTAAAAAAATCCTGAATTACCACAAACTCTGGACCTAATATGCCAGTTGTACATGCATATTCTTCAAACTATTATTGTTTTCTAACACTTTTTTCTTTTAAAGTCCATCAATCATCTCTTATTTTTGCACTTTTGCATGTTTTGTTTGCTATGGCTATCAGTCTGAGCAGTTTGGATGACTGAGATTCGACTGTAGATTCTACTTCAGCTGCAGAGTGCAGATGTTGTGATTGTGGTTGTCTGGAAGTGTTTTTTCCCCCTTTTTTTGCAACACACAGACACAAGATACATTATGTGAATAAAAAAGGTAATCCTGCATGTTGTGCTCAGCAAATATTCATTTTAAACAATTTTGACCAATCAGGAAATGGTCAAAGTGGTCGTCTGACACAAAGTCTTAAGTGTCAAAGACTTAATACACAGAAGGATTAAGTATAGATTACATTCAAGAGTAACATCACAAATGAAACGGACAAACTAAACGAATCTGCTGGTAAACAATCTTCTGAATGATGTACCCACTTGCCTTTCTATAAATATTTTGGTCTTATAACGTTTAAGGGGCACATTGCCAAGAATTGTTTAAACATGTAAAAGTATTGATTATATGTAATGAGTTACCCACAAGAATACGTTTCAATGTGGATGGGATGAAATTGGATTATTTTCAACTAACACCATGTGAATGTGTATTTGGTCACCACATTATACATGATACAGATCATGTCAGGCACACGAGAATATTGGTGATATTTCTGACTGAGAAGGTTGTGTCACTCAGAGGATGACTGTCTTTGAGGCAAGTAATTTCACAAAGGCTATTCAAATACTCGGCGTCTGCTGCTTCTCATAACTGCTTACCTACAGTACCTTGATCGCATTACTCAGAGGAATCATGCATAAATATTAGCGCTCTGTGTCATCAGATCCTGAATTAGCAGCAGCCAGCAGGCTGGATACACCCTCAGCTGATGTGTATCATGAATCAGTTTGTTTGAGACAGAATGATAAAAATCACATCTGAAAAAGAGACGGCGCCTCGCAGTAACAGTATATCAATTCATGAAGTATATTTGATTCAAAAACTACACTGTCACAAGTATGTCTGTTATTTTCCTATGGTGTGGTAATTATGAATTCCTCACAAATCTCATCCAGAGTTTATAGTGCCATGATTTATCATGTCAGTCTAGTCATTGTTCAAGTTTTTAATGTGTATTGTTTGAATATGGCAATAGTTTACCAGGAGATATTCAGTCAGGCTGAAGTGAACAGTGTGTCCTCTAAGGTCTCTATGGTCCACATATGCATGTGGGATGAAGACTGTGTGTTTTGAATGGATGTAATGGTTAAGTCATTCTGTCCTCGACAATGGATAATTTATGTCATAAAATCACAGCGAAAGTGGAGTAGGTGAGACAGATGCAAACTACCACAACACTGAATTGTAATGAAATGAATAAAAAATGTGATCTATTGTTCATTCTCTTTTAAAATCTATTTTTAAAGAATGACATGACAGTATAATTATCCTTCATTTTGTTATATCTAAGTTGGACCTGCAATTATTAGTTTGAAATGTGATCTGAATGTGTATGAAGGTTTGAATGTGTGTTGAAGATGGGAACTAAATGAAGAATTGCAGTTTGTGAGGCAATGCATCTTCCGAACTTGTAGGCAAACGGGCTTCTCTTTTCCTCATTTTGTATTTTAATGTTTCTAACAGAGATGGATGTAGAGCCAGCTCAGGTGTGTGTGTGTGTGTGTGTGTGTGTGTGTGTGTGTGTGTGTGTGTGTGTGTGTACACACTGAATTAAACCTAAAATCTGTGTGCTACCAATTGAGGGTAAAAACACTTTCAGAACTCTGTGCCAGCCGTAAATTATTAGCATCACATCAATATGCACAAATAATTGGAGTTTAAGTGTGTTTATGCAGATGTTGCTGAGGTTATGAGTAGGTAATTGATGAGTAACTGGGATGAACCACAGAAACATTGATACTAAGCCCTATTTCAGTGTGACAAACACCATTATTGGAGGTTGCAGACATACACGTGTACAGATTGTCATGCATTAACCTATGACCGATACATTGTACATGTTTTGTGTTATTAACACCTTTTTAAAGAGGCCACAACACAGTTCACTCATTCTCCTATTCTTACCACTGAAAATAACGTTTAAAGAGATCCACTGCATGTTGGCGTCTAAAGTACAGTGGTCTATACTTCAGTTAACGCAAAATATCCAGAGTGCATCCGGCAAAAAAGCAACAGAAATTGCTTTAAAATCATATAACATCTGTATAAACACGTACCAAATTCAACACGTAACAAAAATACAGATGTCACTTAACAAACGGAAAACAAAAGTTGGAGACAGTCACCACAGCTGGAGACAAATCTGATTTGCAACTTTGAAAGCATCACTTGCTGAAAAATAGTTAGTTTGCTCTTCAGTGTGATCACAACAATTAAATTAAGTTTATTATTTTATTGTTGGATAGATCAGACAGTCTTTTTTCTTATGGATTTTGGCAGCATTTTGCTGTATAATGGTCTCCAGTGATGATAGCGTCTCAGACATTTGTTATAAGTACTGTATGACTGTGACATATTGGCCTTTGTTGTCTACTTCAAAACACAAAAACAGTACGGCATATGTAGACAATCAAAATTAACACCAATATACTTTACACAATCAAGTATAAAAGGGCAAAAATACAACATGAATCAAAATCTTGCTTATGAGAAGGCAGAAATCATAATGGAGCCAAAAACAGCTACAGTGACCGATGCAGAGAAAAGAAAGAAATACAATATACTTAACGAGTGTCTAGTATGTATAAAACATCTAGTGTTATTTGCATTTCCATGGAAAACATGTAATAAACTGCGTTTCAGAATTCGACTTCAGTCTGAGGTAATGGTGGTAGTTTGTTTGGACTGCTCGGCTCATGGAGATGCCGCACCATGAGCCAAAACATAAATGCACATGATAACTGTTCTGGACTACGCTGGATCCTTTAATCTCTTGTTTCATTTTTTTCTCACGGGCAGAGAGGTCTGTTAACCTTCCACTCTAATGAGCAATTTTACACTGGGTGCTCATGCCCATGGGCCGTGGGGTGGGTGGGGCACAGCCACATACTGCGGTGCACGGAGCCTGTGGACACCAGTTTGCATGTAATATACACACAGACCGTTCTGCATATGTGTGCTGTAAATGCAAGTGTGGGGGCGTGTCAAAGCCTTTTTCCTTTTTATCATGTGTGTATTCACCAAGGCACATAGCTTCTCTGTCATTGAACATACTCAGCCAGTTAAAACAATAAGAGCCACTGGACTAGAAAATGTACAGGCAGCCCCATGGGACGCGAAAAGCAATTCCAGATGATACTGCATTGGGTCTGTTGAGATTCAGCGCGAGCTGAAGGCCAGACACTGACGATTATTAATGATGTTCCTATGGAACTATACAGGCTGCCCTCGGCTAACTGGGCACAGTAAAGCAACCGGCGAATGCATCACTGTGCGTCTGTGTGCGTGCGTGCATGCATGTTAACTCGATGGATGTGTCAAAACCTTATCATTGGTAATGAGCTACAATGAAAACTTCAAAGGCATGCTTGCTCTAACTTATTATAAGCAAAGCGCAAACATGTCAAAACATAGTGAAAACACAATTTGACTACTCTACAAAACAGCAAGCAATCAAGATACAGCAAAGGAACACTTGGTTACTCACAACAGGGAACAGGGCCAAAGCTAAGTGTGGAGGGGAGAAAAGAAATGCTACACAAACACAGCCTGATGTGAGAATCTGCTCCCTCCAAGGTCCACTATTATATGTCCACTAATCTACTGTATGTTAAGATTTGCCTTCCATCTATACAGACGTGCAAAATATCAAAAAACAGACACACAAAACACGCACACACACGCACACACACGCACACACACGCACACACACACACACACACACACACACACACACACACACACAATAAGATGTAATGGACTTGGCCTCTTGCAAACCTGTCTACCCTCCGAAACAAACCAGATCAAGCCTAGAATTTGGTCGAATTCAGTTTAGGTTGTTTGCCTTCATGATAGCGGGCTTTCTGTTGACATATGTGGCCCAGTAGCCTAAGTTGAAGATGAAGAACAGAACTGGGAAAATGATGCGCGATATCTTGTCCACTTTGCTGACACGGTTGTAGGACTTCCTGGCCTCCATGTAGGGGTCATCCATTTTGTGGAGATAGGGTAGTTTGGTTGATGCTCCGGCGGCACTCTTGGAGATGGTCGTTAAACCTTGGTCTTTAGCTACGTTGATGGCGTAGGTGGTTCCGACAATGTTGAAGGTGTTGTTTGCCTTTTTGGACAGAGTTGCAGATTCTCTTCTCTGAAAAGGAAGAAGGCAGTAAAGTAAAGGTTGTCAGGAGCGAAGCACCAGACTCAACAATACTTCCATTTGAACTCATAAAGAGGAAATAGAAGCAACACCACGAGACACGACACACACAAGAACAAAACAAAAGCCTAACCATATCTTTAATCCTGGCCATGTTAGCCTGAAACGGTTCCTGAAAAGAAAAGTAGAAAAGAAAAAAAGTTTACCAATTATATTAAAATTACCCAACTTACATACTCTATTCATCAGTATCTAGCTGGAAGTACTTTTGAACATTTTACACTATTAATATTGTCAATTCAAATCTGCATCATACAAATCTGGACTGCAGAAAAAATGTCATGATAAAAATTCATGACGAAAATGATCAGGCTGGTAAAATTAAGAGTGCGGAAATAGGAACAATTATATTTTGCGTCATTGCAGAACCAGGCTGGACTGGCGTCTGATACTGCTAACAGTAGCAGTAGCAGCACAGAGCAGGATTAGAAACAAAGCAAAAGAACGGTGCCTGAAAACATGTCTGACAAACTGTATCAGTGAGAGCAGCCAGGCCTCTTCAGGCAAACAGCTTGCAATAAAACAAACACGACAAAGGCTGTGTGTGATAAAGCTGGCTGGAGAAACTGCCTTCTTCCTTCTACTAGAGAGAAATCATTAGGCTGTCTTTCATATTGAAGTCGCACAGGGAGACAGGATTTTATTTGCTAAATTGGTGCACTCAAATAGCTAAACTTGCATCACCAGAGGATCCTGTCAGCCTTAAAGTGTACAGTGCAGTGCACGCGGTAAATGTGAGAGAACAAGTAGGGCACCAAGATTGATCACCGGGCAGAGTTTTAGTTTCCTGTGTGGCATGCGGCGTGTGAGTCTGTACGGGGGTCATTGTCTTCACACCATTCATCCCCACTGTGGCCACTTTAAGAAATAAAGCAGTGTGCGTCATGTAACAGCGTTTCACTTTCAGTGCTCCCTGTTTTCACTTTTGCTTTGAGCCCAGCTTTAATTTCTGCTCTACTTTTTCAGCTTCATTTAATTTTCCTTCCTTTTCCTTTGACTCCATCTTTTTAATTAGCATAACTAATGTCCCCTCTTTCCCCTCCTCTAAAATGCTTCACGGCGGATCTTCTTCCGCACACAGCTCGTCACCAAATGTTTTGTTTGGTCTTTATCCCCAATATTCACATCTCTTCACTCTCAAAATGGAAGCATAAAAACGTAACCACTTTTTAATGTCAAATGTGACCAGCAGTGGAATGATACTAGCAGTAGGTATCACACTGATTAAGTGGTTGATAAGCTTTAGACTATCTGTCCGAGGGGATGGAGGCAGAAGGATTGAGGAGGTAACACATTCAGTGTGATCAGTGTTTTTCCTCCTCAAGCGAGCTGGACAACAGGAGGACGATGATCCTTCAAGCTCCTCTGCAAAGACGGCAAGGGTTGTGGAGAGCTAACAAAGCTGGCAGACAGTTGATTGCATTAAACAGAGAAATGGTGAGCCGCTGCCTGAAGGGGTCTATCTCAAGTCAATTAGTATGGGGAGAGAAAGAGTCGCACTGATAGCCTCTGGATAACCAGATCCTTTCCCAGGATATCGATTGCTCCACATCTAACACCACCACAAGCCTCCTCTATCACAGCGATGGCTTACATCAGCAGGGAAAAGCCAATGACTGCTATAACGTGTCATATGACCTTAATAATAGCATGCTAAACTCTTAAGTCCTTGGCATTGAGGATGTTCTTTGGCCAGCAACCTGACAAACGGGCCAAGCAAAGTAATTTTCTATCACTTTTTAGCTGGGCTGTATTTTAGTATTTATATGGTCTAATTATTGGGAAACCGCATGTGGCATTGGGCTGTGTGCATGTTTTTAAACTAAATGTGAAACTCATGTGACACAGCACATAATTTGCTTCTGGCCAAAGATTTTTGCGCACTATTCAAAGTCATTTGGCTAGCTGCGGGCGCAAATACCCCCCCGAATACAGTGCATCTATTGACCTTGTCTTTGTTACTTCTGAAAATTGTTGCATCAGAATTTCTTTATGAGTGTGATTAAATGTCCTGGGGGTAATTGTGCCTCGCTGTGTCCTGCTGTTTGGAGCTCAGTGTGTGCATGTGTGCGTGTAACCGAACCTTGTGACAGTCTGTCCCTGTCTAAGATTGGAGATGAGGTGTTGGCATGTTTAATAGCCTCAAGTCTGTGAGCATGTGGGTGTATGAGCGTGCAGACCGCTGTTCCTGTTTGTGTGTGTGCCTTTTTTTTAAGTGGCACTAGCACTACCAAATTTCCTGTAAACCCGGTAGTGGTAGAGGCCTGAGATTGATCAGATAATTGCAGGTTGTGTTACAGGTTGCCTGTGAAATGAGTGTTAAACACATTTGTAATCCCGAATCAAAGGAAACACTGGTTCCTCTGAACACTTCTTCTTTCCTTGTACTTGTAGAGTTTATCTTTTTCATTTCCTCTTTTTCCCACTCAGACTTCCTAAAACAGCAGCAAACATATATCTGCTTTTCACCAGATCTCAAACAACCCCATTTGTTATACTGCAAATCTCTGCATCCAGGCTTGATGGTGCTAATACGCAATAGATTTCAGCTAGTTTAGGATCGTTAGTCAGATATAACCACTTCATCTTGCTGTATTACAAAGGTTATTCCTTGTCACAGCAGTTAGAGGAAACCAAATCAAACAACAAAGCCCTTGAAAACATGCCTCTAGAAATGGCAGCTATGGTTTGTTTTTTCCATCGGAGTACACAGAATTTCCATTCATAACTTGGCTCCAAAAAAGTTTTGTTTTGCTAGCAAACTTCGCCGTACAACTCCCTGTTGTTCAGTAAATTGAGCAGCAGTGTCATGCTGGAATGTGACTGCTAGGTATGATGATGATGACAGGCTGTGTCTCCACCATTTCCTAACAAACTATTGTATTGAAATGTCCGTAAATGTAGTCACTTGTGCTCCAGCAGTGAAGCCCACTGCGCAACGAGCCAGTGCTCCAGCCTCTGCTGATGAAACCAGCACATAATATCTTCCACAGTAGTGTCCAATCCTGTGTCATGGAGTGCCCAGAATATGCAGGCTTTCATTCCAACCAAACTCCCCACCGGCTAATTTCTGTAATAAGTACACCTTCAGCTGGCGGGGGGAGAGCTAATTAGGTAGATCGCTTGTCAAACAGAATGTTAGGCGACAAGAAAGGAAGAAAATGGCACAGAAGCTCCATAACCAGCAAGGTAAATTAGTGCACATTGACTCGTCTACTGCTCACCATTTCAGTCCTAAAAAAGATGGAGCCTGGGGGTGCTGAAGTCATCATTTGGTTCTGGTAAGAGTGGTGGCTGAAACCCTGCTTCTGATGAGTGGAGACGCTATTTTCAAAAAAAGGCATTCTGAGCTAAAACTTCTCTCTTGAAAGACACTCTGTCCTTATAGATTCTCTTCTTGTAGATCCTTTCATTTTATTGTAAATATGTTAAAAAGGGGTAAAAAAAAAAAAAAGCACGTGTAGTCTGCTTTCCAGTAGCTCATTCTGGCAGGGAGCGTGATGATGGGAGTGCATTGTCTCCCTCTGTGACCCCATTCTTTTTTATCTATCATGACAACTGCATGCTCAGCACAGCCCCCGAGAACGCAGCCCAGGCTGTTGCCATTAAGACGAGGCATCAAAAGAAAGCGGGGGGAGGGACCCAACCCTCCACTCTGCTGCAATGTAACGCTGCAAATTATCCCCACCGACTGAAAAGTTCTGTGGCAGCAATATGCATTTCTGCCAATCACTCAGAGGACCAAATGTCAAGCTATAAAAAAACTGGAAAGGCTGTACTGATTGTGTCAAACAGTTTGTACATTAGTAGCAGAAAATAGATTTGTTGCACTGTCTGTCGCAGCAGAGGAAATATGTTTTGCCCTATGTTGTGTCTGTGGCTGATGGAAGCATTCCAGCAATTCCTGTGCTTGCAGCAACATAACGGCTGTTACCTAGCTACTGTTTACCACACTGACTGTGGTTTTTACAAACTTAACACCCACAAGTCCAATTTTTTAAATTTAATATTACCTCGTATATATTGCCACTGTTCATATGTCAGTAATGAAGGTATACCTTTTCTTGCACTTCAGTTTCTAACATCTGAAGTGCAAATATATGGTGGTGTTTGCCGGCTCTCTTGCTGTCAGTAATCAGTGTGACTTTGTAAACCCCACATGTGGTTCTGCAAATTGTACACAAAATCTGATTTGATGCTATTCTTTGACATCTTCTCGACACCATGCGAGGATCTGCATCTGAGTTAACGGATCTTTAAAAAAAAAAACATCTGATCAAACCATTCATTATTAATTCATAGGTGTAAATATAAATATATATTTTTGACTGGAGCAAAACAGATTTCATAGTCAACTTCTCAGCACTGTCAAACCACAGTGGTTATCAACACCTGATTCTGTCAATCATGTGATCCATGACAAAAATAACACAAATAACTTGTTCCTGCGATTACTGGAACGAATTAGCCTCTTTGAAGCGATAGGCTAAATTAATTCAAGAGAAACATGAGTATTTCACACATTTAGCACAGGAGCAAGTGCTTTCATTTTCCTCATTGCTTCTCTTTGCCTGCTCTGATACTTTCTCTTGCCTCTAATCTATTTCATTTAATCAAACATCATAGAAATCATGGTCAATTTAAGCGCTGAGGTTATCATGTGGAACGTATTAGGTTTTATTTATGTGACTTCATCATAGCTTCAGAGAAAAAGCATCTTGTTAAGACCCCTGCACCGCTGAAGTAAAACCACACTCCTTAAATTCAAGTCAAGCCCCAAAAACGACTATGTGCCAAAGTACTCATCTATATTTCTTCTTTCCTACCTACCTTGATGCAAATTCACTCCCCGTCCTGTATTCTCATAAACAACAGCCCCCAGACTATTGACAAATTAAAAATCTGTAAGCTGTGATTTATTAATTTCATGCTTAAAAATAAAAATGTCAGCCTCAGGTGATTCATTTTAAATAATGCACACTCACTGTTTAATCAGTGTGTCTATAACATGCAGACTAGATGTAAGGATGCCATCTTTTCTGGAGAAAATGAGCCAACACTGACTTTAGGATGAGACTTGAACATATGCTGCCGTCATAAATCAGGGCCAGTGTCTCTGGGAGTTTACCTCAGCTTCTGCTCTCACTGTTCCGCCCCGCTGTCCCTGTTCCATTTGGCTGTTAATGAATAAATAAAATCTCTCTTTATAGTCTTTATAGAGTACTCCGGGCTGCTTTAAGGAGGGAACTTTCTATCAGTGTTTCCAAAGTGCAATTTGCCCTCATCCCTCCTCCGGTGTAAAATGGGGACTTACTGAGCAATTTGGAGCATTTTTTTAAAAAGGTTATCAAATCAAAAGATGTGGGGAAATTAATCTGGAATTTAATGAGCTGCATTTAAGTGGAGAGTGACTCCTTTCTGAAAAACTGTGTTGCATTTTGTTTTTTAGGATGATATGTTTGTGGAATGTTGATGCACGTGTGTCATATCCATTAATAAAAAAAATAAATAATAAAATTAAAAAAAAAAAAAAAAAAAAAAAAAAAAATATATATATATATATATATATATATATATATATATAATCACTCACCCTTATTTCCATGCCCTCTTTTTTCCCATCCCATGCCCAGCTGCGCTTGGTGAAGTAGTTGACTGTGGCAAACTCAATCAAGGCAGAGAAGACAAAGGCATAGCACACAGCCATGAACCAGTCCATGGCAGTGGCATAGGCCACCTTAGGAAGGGAGTTTCTAGCACTGATGCTCAAGGTGGTCATGGTTAGGACAGTGGTGACCCCTAAGGATGAAAGGAAAACATCAGTAAATAGACTATTTTTTGAACAAACACTTAAAACTTAATTTCTTTACAACAATTTTTTTGGGTGTTTTCAAACCAGCCTGGTGTATGTGTTTCATGGCATCAGATGCCTTTGTAAAGCTGTGTCTAGTGAAGTTGAAAGATTTTTAATATTTACAATAAAAAAACATTATAACCCAAGTTGTAAAAAAAAAAAAAATCTACATTTGCTTCCTTATACACAGAGATAGACTGTTGTCCTGTGTACATTTCATGCAAGCAATCTCAAGAGCACAATTATGTGCAAAAGTCGTCTACAATGAAGACTTGTTAAGTAAATAAATTGCAACACCTGTGAGTGAAAACAGACTTCCATCTACAAAAATTAATTCATCTGGAAGTGAATCCTTTGGTGTTTTATCTTATCTAACTTTTCGCTAATAATTTCAGTGCTGCTGGGAATTAAATGTGGTCAGACAATGGCCGTCCATCCAACCAGATAAAAGCAATCACACCATCTGTTCCAACCTATCTGATCTGATGAAAAATAGATACACGCTGGGCTCTAAAAATGAGTATTGTGTCGCAGAACAGGGAGGTCAACTCATTCCAGTTAGTCATGGGTTAGATATTAGAATTTGTGACAAAAAGATTGATGGCTAACTATTCACTTTTTTTAGGGACAGGGATTTATTTATGATTTAATTTCTGGTGCTGCATTTTGCATAACTTGACTATATTTCAACATTTGAACTGCGTGCTATGTTTCTATTTATCTCCTAACAGAGTGGAAATAGTCTTTATTAGCACAATATTTAAGAAAAAAACTACTGATAAATTGGGGGATAATTCGAGGACATAGAGATGCTTGTAATATTAATGAGGATGTCCTTAAGTAAAATACAGGTCATTAAATCTTGATATGACATAAAACCTGATAACCCCCCCAAAAAGTATTTAATCATGTCTACAGAATACAACCTGGCATCCTACCAGGGAGTAGAAACTGAGAAACTAATAGAAATTTAGCTGCTGATGACCTATACCGGCTAAGAACACAGTAGAAAGATGGCTAATTCAGCTGATCAATGCAACTGCGTAAACAAAAAATACAAATATATGTGAACGCTGCTGGAGACTGTGTCCTTCACAGACAGTGTTTAAATCATTCCACTGAGAAATGACACTGATTACAGCTCCTCTCCTCATGTGAAGGAAATTGTTCTCTAAAAATTGAATTTCTTGTGTGATCGAAATGATTTTTAGATGTCTGCTCAAAGAAAAATTATCTTGACTGTGTGTGTGTGTGTGTGTGTGTGTGTGTGTGTGTGTGTGTGTGTGTGTGTGGAACTGAAGGAGCTGTTATTATTCCGAAGAATCAATGAAAACAGGTAGCCGTACCAATTTTTATTTCCTCACCAACATGGTAATAACTGCCTCTTGTTTGGCATCCTATTCAACATACAGTGTACAGTGTGTGCTATGTGATGTACATGACGTGTGCTTCATTACCTAATCAAAATGCTAATTATTCAACAAAAACAGGTTAAGGGGCACTTTCATAGATTATGCAACATGACAACAATTGAAGGAAGGCGGGCAAATTACAAGTCATCTTTGAGAGTGTGATGATCTAAGCAGACACAATGTTCTTAACATGGACAGTGCTAGACGGACAAATTGAGTCTATTATTATTATTATTCACAGTACAAATTGAGGATAACACGGCCAAGTGTATGCAGCTTCCACCTTTTTAAGTATCTATTAACATTTTGTTATTTATTTACTGTAAGATATTCTTATAAAAGCATGGCTTCTTTATTAACAGTGACTAAACTGATGTGATCCTCTGCCATTTACATTAAAACCTAACTGTTCCACGAGTGCAAACGTGTGATTTGACCCTTACTAAGAGTCCATGGTAGCTTTGGTGGGATTATCTCTGTTTTTAGACTTGATGTGTCTGGTTCTTTCTAAATTACCTCGAGCCCAGTGAGTAATAACACTTCAGACCCGGCTGGCTGTTTATAGAGTTGACAAAGCAGCCGAACATCCTCTTCAAGAGCGGCAACACCTCGTCCATCACCTGCCACCCTTTTCCAATTTTATACTTTCCAACTTTGCTTTGACTTATCTTTGATTAATTAGTGTTTGCAGTTACAGAGGTAGGAGAAAGTCAATACTGTGATAAAAGCTTTGGAAAAAATAAATTACTCATTCATGCCTATGTGCACCTAAATGCACCTAAGCTATGTTTCATGCGTTATGTTAATTAGAACTTTTCAAGGGGAACCTTTTTTAAACCCTCTACTTGTTATGCAGTTTGCTGAATCATCTGATGATGTGAACAAATGCACCTCTGAACATTTTTTTTGCTCTTACCTCATACCTCAAAAAGCAAATTATCTAAACCATTCAATTAATCATTCAGTGCATTTCTTTGAGTTGGATTAAAAACACAAGATGCCACTCACCGAATACAGTGCGAGCAGGAACTGATTCTCGGTTTAGCCAGAAGGAGACTTGAGACAGTATGACAGTCATGATGCACGGGAGGTAGGTTTGAATCACAAAATAGCCAATTTTCCTTTTCAAATGGAAATATGTTGTCATCACTACATATTCTCCTGAGGGAGAGGAGAGAAACATAGAGAGACACACAGGGTTATAATTATTAATACAGCAATGCCCAGTTGGGAGCAACACAAGCTGAAATATTCAAAGTAACATTTATTAAAGTTAGAACATTAACATGTACGCTTCATCAAAGTAGCTCATAGGATTGTCTTCAATCCCTTAGATGATCCAAAAAAATGTCAGTTAAAAGATGTCATGTGTTTAGAAATATTCCAAAGAGCTTGTGATGTGCACTTTGTGTAAATAAAGTCACAAAGCTGACCTCAATTTCACTTCAGTTTAAACTAGGACTAGGAGGATGTGTATAGAAAAGCACAGAAGAGGAATTTTAAAGCGCAGAAACAAATTAAATGACAGATGGCATCACTGACTCCAATGTGTTGTGCAGATTTGATGATACAATTGTTGTTTCTGTGGAAGGAGTTAGAGGGTCATGGTAATGCAGCACCTGTGCTATTCCTCACATACTAGAAGACTATTTGGCAGTTGTGTGTCAGAGGAAACCTTGAGTTGAGGGCCAAATGTTAATCGAAAAAAGGAACTTGAGAAAGGTCTTGAAAATGAGGTTGCATAAAGTCACTCCTTTCAAAATTTCAACAAATCTCTCTGAATATCATCATAGTCAGAGAGTTACAATGCTGGCGTAAAATATAGCGCTCAAAACAAAACAAAAAATAGTAGGACTAGCACGATATGCTTATCTTCTGATTTGATACCTGGTACTTTTTATACCCCGGGTGCCGGTTTGACATATATATATATATTATATACTAAAATTAAAGTCTTTCTGACTTTAATTTTGGCAGTATCATTGCTATATTGCACTGTTTCACAAACTTATTATAGTCCCATAGCCCTTCAGACATTCAACCTCCATCTACGTACCCATTTTTTCCCTTTTACCCCAGTTTGGGCATAGTGGCTATACTGCATAAAAAGTGATACATGAAATACGTTTTAAAGTAAACTGCCACATTTAGCTGTTCCTGTTCATCAGCTTAGTGCCATAGGAAAATAAGAAAATAATATGTTAGGCCAGAATGAATAGAGCCCCTGAAAACTGTACACAGCACAAATGTGAGCCTTTAAATGACCATCCTTCACATATGAAAATGAACTTGGAAACTGTCCTTTCAAAACCCTGGCTACAACAGTACATTAAGGACACGGTAATCAGAGCCACCTGTCAAGCTAATGCCAAGCCTTCAAAGGACCAGTGTGTAGAATGTAGTGGTATAGCAGGGAAGTTGTAGTTTGCAGCCATTTTTGGACCTTTTAAATCTCAAATTATAGATTTTCAGTGGAGTATTCCTTTAAATACAGAGGTGTGAGGAACATCTGCCTGCGTCATTCCAACCCATGATATTCAACATTTCCATCAGCTTAGATTTTGTCACTGACGGCAGCAAATGGACAAATTCACAGTTCCCCTAAGCACCAGCTCTCATTGCCATGTCTGTAATCTGTGTTGCAAAGATATGAGAAAAACAGCCTCTCATTCCCCGAGGTGTCCCCCCCCCCTTTTTTTTCTGAGCAGAGTCTAACCAGAGCTGAACTGGCTCAAATCCTTCCATTCCCTCAGCTCACTGTAGTCCATTAGACTTAAAGTTTGAAAAAAAAAAATAGATTTCCACATCCACAAGCTGAACTAGTTTATGAAAGCAATCATGTTGACTCCACCTTGGATTTTTGCACTTATTTCCAGACTTTAGTTCAAAATACCTCTGCAATTTACTTGACTTAAGGTTAAACCACTGAACAGAACAACAATAAAGATGGGCTCAAGGAAAGTATCCTCTGTGGAGTTCTATGTGTGCTATTATTTCAACAGCTTTCCACACACTTTTTGTTTCCTAGGAAAACAGTGCCATGCAACAAAGAGGTTTCATAGCGGTTTAGTCTCCAAACACAAGTGAAGTCTGACAGATCTCTGCAACTCAGTAGCTCACCTCCTGAGAGCAAACGGCTCCACTGCAGAGGTTAAATCCCTCAAAATGGAAAGCCACTGTGGCTCAGTCGTAAGCTATGCACTCTTTCAGTAATTACCAACTGCCCCACTGAAGCAACCTTTTATCTATAGCTTTGCAGTAATCAGAACATCTGCACTTCATCCAGTCTTCTTGCACTGTTACCTAAAGCTGGTGATTGATGTTGAAAATGCTATGCTGATGTTATTTGCTTCTATAAAAATTACATGGCAACTTACAATTTCTGGTAAATTATAACTATTATAATAGCACTTCGTCTGAGGTGGTTGAACTCTAAATATAATATTAGCATGTAATTGCTGTGAATTGTCTTGTTTCAGCGTGTATCAGTACCCAGCCCTTGCCTTGTTATTTTTTCCCTTTATGTTAAAGTGCTACCATAAGCTTTAAGTCTCCCAGTGGGGAAATAAAGAGAAACTGATTTGATTGTGTGTGACTGATAAAAGGTTTCGGCAACAGTTTTGACCATCAAATGAATATGTAATCAACACTATGGGCTGGCAGATTTTGTTTTATTTAATGCTTATTCAAGTTGACTCTGGGATATAGCTCAAAAACAGAATGGGAATAAGACTTTCACCTCTGGCACACCTCTTCATATTATCTTTGTAAATATGCTGAATAGTTCCCCCCCCAAACCGAGTCAGTCATCATTTTCTCTCTGGACCAAAATAATTCAAGCTGAATCCAAAATGACAGAAACTGAAGAAAAGTGCAGACTGTTACTTTACGAAAACACACAAAAGAGTGCCAGTGTATGTCAACAGAAAAGTAGGATGGCGATTTAATTTACTTCAAATGTTATGCAGAAAACCTAATAAGAGTTTATGTTTCAAAGGTAGGAGTTTCATCCCACTAATTTTGTTTAACTGCTTGCAGTATCCTCCATCAAAATATTCGGTGTGTCCGCAACATCTGTCAAATTTGCTGTCTGGGCTGGCATGTAGTGTACCTGTGCTGGAGCTGATGGTTTCTTTGCCAATAACGTGTCCCAGTAGGTCATACTGGTTCAGCCTGGAGCCATCCTCTGCAACAGCAACGGACCTCTCATCTCCCTGGGTCCACAGATAGATCACCTCGTTATTGGTGTAGGCATCTGGGTAAAAGGGAAAAAGGAAATAAACAGTAGAAAATATGGATTAGGAATCAACAAGGCATCTTTTTTATGTTATTCTCATATCTGTCCACACTGTAGAACAGATTTGGTAAACACTTTCATGGTGCAGATGATGTATTTTGTGATTACTTTAAGTTTTCTTTTAAGGTCAAAAATTGTATTTGTCCAATACTTCTGTAAAACTGATGACATTACAATCAGCCTCAGGTGTACTTTGTGTTTACAGTCAGCAATTATCAATTGTTCGCATGCTAACATGCTACATTAAGATGGCTAGCATGGCAAACATTACCTGCATCCGTATGTTACTATTGTCTTTGTAAGCATGTTAGCTTTTAGCCCAAAGCACCACACTGCAAGGAATTTATCAAGGGAACTCTCCCTTCAAGCCAGTAGTTGACTCCTTTTGCTAGGTTGCTAAAAGAAACAACACTTATGACAGTTATCCCATTGTATCATATCTATAGTGGTGAGTGAAGTTTGAGTCTTCTGATGTTTGTCCAGTTGCTAACACCTGCAGAGAACAACTGGCACTTTTTATAGCAGTGCAATTTTATATAAAACTCTGTTTTGTTGTGACCATCTGGACTGACTTACAACTTCCAAATTTCAGGGGACAGGCATGCGCATCCATCGGGAAATCCTCAAGGTGCATGGGGCACTCGGCATGAATGGTCAACCTGAGTGGGGGGCAGAGAGAGACGGGGAGAGACGGGGGAGAGACAATACCTCACTGGTCAGACTGCAGTATGTATGAGGCGGCTGTTACAAATACATCATACCTACATCACAAGACACAAAACACAGAGTGCACTTTAAAGAAGAAAATCAATGTATTGTTTTTTACACGACACAGTGACCGCTTGCGTATCAGAGTACTCAAGTCATTTTAAATCCACAGTCTGTATATTTGAAGAAAAACGGGAGGGAGGGCAGACATTGCACTCTCTCCTCCCTCATATAGCCACCAGTGCTAATGAGTGCTCGGCTGACTGACAACAAAGAAAAAATCTCCAGAGAGCACCAGAGTTTATTTCATTTGGTCAGATGGGCCGAGCCACGAAACGCACTCTGTAAGTAAATAGGGAAATGGTGCATATTATCTCACTCATACATGTTTAATCATCATGGGGATTACATTTGCTGAGTTCAAACAAAACAGCAACCCATAAAACTGTCCTACAGTGGACTGAGTTACTCATAAAATGGACCACAAACTGGGTTATTGTAACTCAATTACAACATTTATAGTCCATGCATCAATCCAAAATTGGGTTATTTGAGCAACCAGGATAGGAACATCTGAGCAAGTAAATGTAGTTATGTGTAATTCTCATATGTCAGCTGTGAATATAACTTGATCCTTTCTACAGTTTCATGCTTGTATTTTTTTATTTTATTTGTTGTATTCCCTGGTAGCGTGTACAGATTTTACATGTAAACGTGTATACGTGTATACGTGTATACGTGTATATGATACGTAGTTTCATGAGTAGATTCATTTGGTCTCACCATTGTCAACACGGGTTCATGTTGCATGTTCCATTTATGAAGTTTGTTGCAGCCCCAGTATTAAAACTACTATTATGGGCCACTTCTACAGACAAACTTATTGTTCCTAATTAGCTCCTTGTTTTGCACTTGCAACAACTCTGTGATCCTTTTTATTACACCCTCTTGGCTGCTCTCTGGTGCTGCCTCATTACAGATAAGTGGCTCAGTAACTACGACAATGAATGCAATACAACATCAATCAAATGTGAGCAATGGACGCTGCATATTATACAGCACTTAAACCAGCAAATAATCGACGAAATTCATCTCATTCCTTAGCTGTTCGGACAATTCTGACAGAAACTAAACCAAAACATAAAATAAATAAGTCAAATAAAATAAAAGATTACAGATGACAGAATAAGAATTACCTTGATCAAAGACAACAAAGCAAGTTGTCTTTGTGCAATGGAAAAAGTTCACATTAAGTATATAGCAAGACCAAGAGTCTACACCACTGCTAGTGGCCTGTGAGGCTATGCTTTTAAGCGTGCTCAGTGTCAATGCTAGCTAGCTTATTTTTAGCAGGGATCGTTTTTTACCATGTTTATCATCCTACCTAACATTCGCTACTGAGCACTATACACAAAGTACAGCTCAGTAGTTTTGACCTTATGGTGATGCTAGATATAAAGTTACGGGATAAGCTAATTATTTGAATTAATCCTGAGGAGGACATGAATGTCTTTACCAAATTTCGTAGTAATTTCTGGAATAATTGCTGAAACATTGAGCTAAAAACCAAGTGTTGGTGTTCAGTTGGTGCTGCTGGATGAAAAGTGAGGGGATCACCAAAGTCTGTAAGATTCATTCTGGGGACCATGAATGTCTATACAAAATGTCACAGCCATCCATCCAATAATTGCTGAGATTTTTCATTCTGGACCAAAGTGGTATACTGACCAACATTGGCACCTGCTATGCCACGAGCATGGCTAAAAGGCAAGATATTGTGTGGATTATACAGTACAGATAGTATTTATTTATTTATTTTCGTATATACTAAATATAACATACGTTCTAAATCCAACAGTTTTTTATAAGTCTGTACTTTAAGGTAGCATTGCACCAACTGTACTTGCACAGCAGTGAGTGTTTAGTCGTACATCATTGCTCCAGTGGATCCTGATTTAAAAAAACTTTTCACTCTGAATGGATATCCCCAAATATGGCTGCACAGTTGTATTTGTTTTTGGTGATTCATAAGCTGTGAAGTCCAATTCAGGGATTTAAAAATAAATAAATACAAATAAATAAATAAATTATTGCAAGTTTGAACCACAAATATACACCACTGCCTTTGATGAGTACATTTAAAATTTTAATATTCTCTATCAGGGAAACATAATTGCTTTAGTAGCCACATAGAGTTTGAGTTAAATTGAGGTGAACTGAGAGTGAGTGATAAACGCTCTCACACACAAAAACGAGACTGCAGCAGCACAGGCAGACAATACCAGCTCCCTCAATTCAAAATAATGACGCAATCCTGCAGAGCGGAGGCCTTCGCAGCATTTGTCAGCTCAGATGCTGTAGACGTGCTGATTAAAGGGATTTAAGTGTAAATCAACACAAGGTACCACTGTAATGTACTTCAGACTAAACTTTCTTTAAGAACAGATGGATTTATTTTCTAAAGCCTAATACCTGTCAAGTGTGCTCAGGCAAATTTAAGTTATCAGTCTCTCCATTCCAGTGCTTCTAACAATACAGCCAAAGTTTAGTCATTTAGATCCCCTTCAACTAAACAGCCAATGCTCCATTATGAAGGTAAGGTAGCCCATGATTTGAAGACTTTTTTGCTCTAATACTCAATAAAAAACACAATGCATATTAACCATGGGATTTCTTATGACATTGTCCTGCTGTTAGTTAAAATAGAAATGGCCAGAAAGAAGACTTTTAATAGCATGAATAAACCACAGGTTTTGAATAAACCCCACTGCAAATGTAATACCTCCAGAAATTAAGTTTGAATTGGTAGCTTGAACATGAATACAAATGTGGTGAGAGATGGTTTATCATACTTTGCTTCATCATACTTCTTCATCATCTTACCACACATTTACTCAGTTGTGTAAACACGACAGAATTTGTAATACTCCATTTGAGCTCAGATGTCTTTTTGGCCTTGGCAGAACTGCAGCTGCATCAAATCTACTCATGTGGGACTACAAAATAAAATTCTTTCACTACTTCATTTTCACCCTTGGAAATCAATACTGACCTTGTGGACGAGCATCATAAAAATATTTCTTTTTTAAGTGATTCATGGCTTTGATGCAAAGCTGAAGGGAAGGCTGATTGACAGATTCAATGATTAAATGATTATTAAAAAAAAATGTACTGTAAATAATGATAACTGAGAGTGACTGTCATGGTAGTTGACGCAATTTACATTAACATCCACACAATGCCTACCTTTGATCAGCTCCCCACAACTTTATTTTAATCCCTTGACTGTTCATCTCGCACCACCATGACACTGACATGTGGTTTTAAGTGTCTCAACAACTATTGGATGAATTGCCATTATATTTTGCTGCAGGTATTCAGGATGAACTTTGGTCATCCTGACTTTAAATCCAGCACCATCAGCAGGTCAAAATCTCATTTTCATTGACTGTGTAGTTTGTTGACTTTCTTTCTGAACTATCCATGTTCAACACGTCACCCTTTGTTACATTGCTACGTTTGGCACTGTTCCTTCTGGCTGCCATAATTTCAATAGTAACTTAAGTTGAACTGTAGTTCAAGCTCTTGTGTTAATTTCAGTACACAGCTAGGCTTATACAAGCACTGTTTATAAGGTTAATGGCCCCCCAGCCAACTATTTGCACCGTATAACATCATTATTGTTTCTGTGGTGTTCGGCCTCTCACCAAGCTTTTAACCAGGCAGTAACATACTGTGAATCACAGCTGAGCTGACAGTGAGGAGCTCCGCTGCTAAAAGCTTCTGATTTGGTCAGTGACCATGGTGATTCAGTGAAGTCTATTCAGATGGAAAAGTCTGTGTTAGAAATTCATTTTTACATGTATGGAACACTGATGCCTGCCAGCCTCAGCCGGGTTTAGTCCTTATTAGCAAATATTAGCATGCTAAGACTCTTAGTCTAGTTAAAGTACAATATTCAACACAACAAAATGTCAGCATTGACTGGGGAGGAATTTCATAAGTGGCTCACCTCATTGTGTAGAGAAGTGTACCATTGTCGACTAGTCGTAGCAGTTTGTTAGGAGTCGTCATGTTGTGGGCCACAGATTTCTTTCCGTTGTGGAAAAAGGTATCAGGAGTCCAGATCTTACTGGCCAGGAGGTTGTTGAGGGGTAAAACTTGCATAGGTCCGTCAAACTTCAGCCTCTCGTCCCTCCAGCTCTGACGGAAGAAGACATCGATGGTGTACTCCTGAGGGGAAGAGAGTGCAGATTAGTTGGCAAGAGTTTACAGAGTTGGAACATGGCACTGGTTATATAGAGGAAATCCACATGGTTGGTATTTAACCCTTTAACATTAATAGACATTTTGACTTTAGACATTTGACCATTTAGGTAAGCCATGCTCAGTCACTGATTTACTTAATGGGATTCAGCCACTGTTATTAGTTATACCTGTTATCCTGCTTTCGATGAGAAAAAAAAGAAAGTTTTGTCAGAACTGGAGAGGTTTTCTTCAATACGCTGTTCCCCCGACTGGCTTCAGTAAGAGTTTGAATATGTTACATGATTCGTTGACCTGATTGGTTGAAGTACGCCCACCACAGACACTGATAGACAGTATGTTTTGAGAGTGCCTGCCCTTTCCCATACATTTTCCACCAACAACTTCCCCATCTGGTGCAGTCTGGGTACAGGTGTGTGCCATGCTTTACCATCTGTCAGTGTCAGACAGCTTTAACAGAAAAACAGAAATGTAATCTGTCCAGCACATGTATCCTCAGTGTACACACACAAATATAGATAATGTCACACCAATTATTGTCAAATATGTTGTATTTTTAAAATGATGTATTCCTGCACCATGTAATTACTACTCTGCTAACAATGCAGTGTTTATCTAGCCTAACCATGGATTGAGACACAAATGAGCCTCCACGAGAAACCTTGTAATACATCTGTTTCATGTTTTATTAATATGCAACAAAGTCTTTCTGTTTTGTCACCAACACATGACAAGTAAATAAAATAAAATGAATGCAGGAAGTAGCCAGTCAAAAGGAATTTATTTCACATTATTCATTCAATAGGACTTGGTGTCCTAGCAACAGACTTCCTCATCAGCTGCGTACAAAGGCTGTGCAGACTGAAATCAGCCGTCTTAACAGAGTGAGACTGAGGTAAGCTGTCTGTATCTCACGTAGCAGTACACATTATCGGTGATCAATAAAAGCACGCAGTTTGTGTCTCTCTTTCATCCTCTTTGTGCTTTTGCTTGTACAGTGAAAGGGTTTGCCTACTGTACTGCTCACCAGTGAGCTGTAACTGGCTTCTCCCTTTGCGACAAAACTCATAAAGCCATTTCTCAGTGGCTTTAACAACAGGAAGCCAGCATCCTCAGCAGGGGAGGTGTACAGCTTCCACTCAGCACATCAACAGGGCATCTCTAAACAGCGCAGGATGGACGTCTGTTAATTGATGTGATTGACCTCCTGGCGGCCTGCATACCTACAGTACCATGAAAAAAGTAATCACACTGCATCTGTGCTGGTGACAGTGCTGTTAATAAAGCCCGCAGAGAGCTTCGCAGACAGATGAAAGCTAGAGTGTGACAAACCCGTTTCCCTCAACCACTGTCTTCTTTTTCCTACCTATTGAGTTTTGTACCTCATTTAATTGCATTCTCTGCTCAGTAATGTCTACAACATCTACACCTCTAATAAAAAAAAACACAAAAAACCCTCAACTTTTAATGCTATTTATACCACATTGAGTTTGTTCATGAATTAGCCCAGTGCAGGCAACAAAGGACTCTCCAGGCCACAAGAAAGAGACTGATGAACACACACAGGCACTAGGACACATGCTATATGGTGATTTATCGTTCCGTGTTCCTGTGTATGTTTCACCAAAACTTTCCAGCAACACTACAAGAAAGTTTGTTATACGCTCACAGAGAAAGACTGGACCATTTAAATCTCCATTACCACAGTTATACACAGTGTATGCACTTTATTCTTCTTGCCCTTTCTTTACGAGAACCAACAACACTGCCAAATCTCATCCCAATCAGTGTAAAACCTCCAATGATGAAAAAATAGATACAAGTTTGCTTGGCCCAGCTGGGCGAAGCCATCATTTGTTTGTTCCCCTTGGACAGAAATCTTCTGTAAACACAGGGAATTAATTTAAAGATTGAAAGACAGGAATGAGGAAAAGCATAGTCAATCTCCACACAAGGCCAAATGGCACAATCAGTTCAAATGCCAGCTGGTGTTCCTCCAGGGACTGAGTGATTGATTTCTCCTTGACAGAGGAGACTGAGCGAAGCATCTACCCAACACTAGTTTTCAAATGTCTTTTTCTAATAGCATTGACGATCATGAATAGATTTACTATAGCAAACAACTGTAACTTAAATGGCACTTTAAAACACATTCATGGCACCTGAATGACAGTGTTACAAATAGATTCATGAGTACAAATTCACTCTTCACAAATAAAATGCAGATTTTTTTATGTATGCCTGTACATATTTCTGGCATCTTGCCTTTATTAGAAAGCACAAGATAGAGACTCAGCTTATGTGGGGCGAATAGCTTGCCACAACAGTTCCTTGAGGGATTGGAAGTGGGCCATTGGAGATAAGTTGTACATGTCTTTTGGCATCAAGACACCCCTACATACAGATTAAACAATTCTTTTAAATGTATCCAAAATCTATTAACTATTTGTATTTATATTGCAGATTACCTAAATATAATGAAATCCTGTATCTGACAAAAGGATAAAAACAATTAACTGTTAATAGCAATACAATGTAATTGTAGGGCTGCAAAATGATGATTTAATTATTAATTCATCAGTTTATTTTATTTAAAAATCAATTATTATGTAGTTCCTCTCAGTTTCAGCATTGCAGTGTCTTTCAGCTAATTGTTTTGGTTTTCTGGCCCACAGCGTACTGCTTTGGTTCAGCCTAGTCTGACCCACAGGAAGTAAGCTGCTGGAAGAAGCCTGCCATTGGCCCACTATTTTAGTCAGCATTCAAGTGGTTTTCAAAGTCCCTGATGCGAGGACAACAACCTCTGAGCTGCACTGTTGCATTCTGGGCTTAGCACCACCCAAGACAATTGTGATGGGCTTCAAGAAATGTTTTACCCCCTATACCAGAACGATAATGGTTTCATCCAGACCTTTTATCCAGTGTGAGACTAGGTTAAACCTCACATGCAACTTGGCTACCAGACATCCCAAGATAATTATGTTTTTTTTGATGGTGCGGTTACTTGTGCTCTCCGCAGACACATGTCAGTATGCTTTCACGTACTGGAAGCTTCACTACTGCTACAGTTAGGCTTTTGCCTGTTTCAGTATTACCTCTATCACTGAGGTGAAGAAGTCAAATCAGGTTACATTTAATGGAGTCATCTTAGTCGTTGCATATAAACAACATATATGAATACAACAGTCATGAATATTCTTGTAAACCGTGATTCTTACATACCTGATCTTTTCTGCCACATGCAGTGCAGAGCCCTATAAACTGAAATGAATTGGGTAAAACAATCTGTGTTTAATGGTGTAGAAATCACTGTCCTATATGCCATAACTAAATGTGTGTCTAATGTTTTCAAGTTGAGGTTAATTACTGAACACTTTCAGTGAATACCGTAGGATTGTCACAGCAGGGTTTCATATGAAGAGAAGAAGAATAAAAAAATAAAACAAGAGGCAGAACGAGCATGTCATGCACAAACAGAAATGTCTTCTTTGCTCACATGTGAGTGTCTCAGTGGAACAGGAGCAGTGGGGAGAAGCAGCCAATAGCAGGGCTTAAGTAGTGAGAAAATGATGAGAATGACAGGAAATGAGGAAAATGATAGGAAAGGCTGATAGGGTGGCAGTTAAGGTAGGATGTACAGCAGACTGGGCTAAATGAGTCTAGACGTTAAATAACGACAGTGTCTGGTTCTCTGATAATGGCAGGAAGGTTGTGTCTAATATCTGATAGAATATTAATGCAGCCTTTTATCTTAAATTAATGAGTTCATTAAATTCTAAACATTTAGTTATTAGATCACATTTTAGTAATGGCATCGTGTTTTAGTTTTAATTTGGTTTAACTCAACAGATATTTTTCTTTCTACGGCTTATTTCAGTCATTTGATCTGTTTTGGTTTTGCAGCCGATGTACAAGCTTTTTTCTTTGCACTTCATTGAATTATTGGGTTAATCAAACTACATATCTGCCAGTTTAAAGGCTACATTTTTTCCTTCCCTAAACATATTACAAAACCCAATTAATGATATATCTGAGCGTAGTTATCCAAACAAGTTGCATCCCGGAAAAAGACATTTTGGATTATTTCTGCACAGTGGCTCATTGTCCAGTGTTCGTACTTAGCTACAACGTGGCGTGCACATTTTGTTTACTTACATTAGCTGACTGGTTTGACAAGTTTGATTTAGTAACCCCTGACAAGATATATTTTTTGTGAGAGAGCCGTTTCCCCAATTAATGTGCAGGAATGTTACGTGTGATATATGTTATGTTGTCTTGTTTTTGACAGTCCACAGCAGACCAAAGATAACATTCTGATTAGATGGTGTGGTGATGACACAGACCACTTCCTGTAGGCATTGCATCCATTCGACCTGGCTCTTCTGAACTTCCCATTCTGTTCATTGTAATGATTAGTCAAAGATTTGATTAATGTCTTAATTACTAATCCATCTTGCTCTCGGGTTGTCAATTATCCTCTCTCGCTTCGCTTCTGGTGTGCTGTTCACCTTTCCCTGCTGGGAGTCTAACCTGTGTAAGACTTGCAATGAGCTGTGAATCCCATACCAACTCCAATTATCTTCTGTGTTCACCACCTTCTGCAGCTCTGAGGCGTAAACGTGTTTTAGCACTTGACTGTGCCACACAGTTCCGACAAATATAATCAGCCTAGAATGTTGAAGTGGTAAAGAAAGAAAGGATATGTAGCAGTGGACATGTTTATGCCAGTAAATACGCAATGCTTTTTTAAAAGAGACCATTAAATGACTGTTATTGTGGGCTGCTCTCAGGGAAAATAAGCTTAAGTGGCTCACATTCAAGAAGCTGCAAAAACAGCCGAACATGGATTGTGGTTTTATTTAAATACTGAAAAGGTAAACATGTCCCATCTTGTGTCACGTTCACTGAAGTGTTTTTGGTAATCACATTGCGATAACTGACTTTACACATTTTAATTGGCCTTTCTT